AGAAGCATTTCAAGGTCCTGGAGTGGCCTAGCCAGTCTCCAGATCTCAACCCCATAGAAAATCTTTGGAGGGAGTTGAAAGTCCGTGTAGCCCAGCGACAGCCCCAAAACATCACTGCTCTAGAGGAGATCTGCATGGAGGAATGGGCCAAAATACCAGCAACAGTGTGTGAAAACCTTGTGAAGACTTACAGAAAACGTTTGACCTGTGTCATTGCCAACAAGGGGTATATAACAAAGTATTGAGAAACTTTTGTTATTGACCAAATACTTATTTTCCACCATAATTTGCAAATAAATTCATAAAAAATCCTACAATGTGATTTTCTGGATTTTTTTTTCTCATTTTGTCTGTCATAGTTGACATGTACCTATGATGTAAATTACAGGCCTCTCTCATCTTTTTAAGTGGGAGAACTTGCACAATTGGTGGCTGACTAAATACTTTTTTTCCCCACTGTATACTATATTTAAAAATGTATATCCCTCATCTACACAAAATTGAAAGCTCTCTCTCTCACTACCCCTGTTCATAGACCCCCGGTCGGCTCTGGGATATGCAACCATTTCCCCTCTCACTCACTTAACGCCGTACCTTTTCAAACACAAAAATGCACACCACATGGTTGACTGCGGAAGAAATGGGCCGAGCGTGCAAACGCACCCGCATCCACATCTGCTGCAAGGGGGAAAGGACGCCAGAGAGAACACAGGACCAACCACAACAACCATCCGCCAAAACAACAACCTCCCGCCAAAAAATCCATGTTCTAATTATTTGTATATAAAGATGTATTATTCTGCTTGTTATATCGTTTTATCCATTTATAAAATACTATACTTACTATAAATATTATTTAATATTACAATCCCTATCATTGCTAGTATCAGGTGCTCCAATATTTGACTCCTCCATTACAACTTTTAGAATAGCCATGGAGTAGTCTTTGTGTCTCTGAACATTTGGTTGTCAATATATAATTTATCCACCACTAGTGCAACACGTTTCCCTTTTAATCTGTTTTCCTTGAAGATTGGATACAGAACTTTGCGCCTTTCTACAATCTCCTTCGGGAACTGATCATTCATGCCTATTTTCGTGCCAGCAAGTCTTTTTCCCAGGCTTTTCACCATAGCTTTATCCTTAAAAAAAGCAAATTTGGCAACGATTGGGCGCTCATATTTCTGTCCTCTTTTTCCGAAACGATGTACACGTTCGAGTTGGATTTTATCGACAGCCTCGAGTGGGATTTGTAGCGCTGTATGCAGGAAGTCCTTCATAATATTCTCTGTTATTTCTCCCTCCTTTTCCTGAATACCCGTAAGTACTAGATTTTCCCTCATCGATCTAGTTTGGATGTCTAGTAAGGCTTCTCTCAGAAGATTGTTCTCCTTTTTTAATTCCCTAACGTCCGTTTCCATTTTAGAGACTGTCACTTTTATTTCTTTGGTTTCTTTCTCCATTACCAAAGCTTTTTCGTCACTCATTTGAAGACTCGCTTTCAACTCTTTTACGTCTTTACTGACCAATTCTAATATGCCCAATTTGTCATTTATCGACTTCAACAGGTCGCTTTCCACACTTACCATACCTAGTGGTGAAAAGCATATATCATCTGTATCTGTCGATGAGTCGCGTTTTCTTTTGGGGATCGGCTCTCCACGCTTGTCTTCAGTCATGTTTGGGTGTTGCTTGTTGTAGTAATATTTGTCGATATATTTCTCTAGCCTTATGATCTTATTTCTGTTATTATCCAGATTGAATTATATTAACTGCGAATATATGAAATGCTAATATTTAGTCTAACTTACTGATTTTGAATATTATGTTTTTATGTTGGTGTTTTGTACCGATTTCTATTCAATACGCCATCTTGTTTACGCGTGCCAAAGTACGTTCATCTCTAGGAGGCAGATTTTCCCATGATGACCCCTTGACTCTTTCCACATTTTGTTACGTTGATTAAATAGTCCCCCCCCCCTCAATCTACACACAATACTCCATAATGACAAAGCAAAACCAGGTTTTTAGAATGTTTTGCTAATTTATAAAAAAATTTAAACTGAAATATAACATTTACATAATATTCAGACCCTTTACTCACTACTTTGTTGAAGTACCTTTGGCAGCGATTACAGCCTTGAGTCTTCTTGAGTATGATGCTACAAGCTTGGCACACCTGTATTTGGGGAGTGTCTCGCATTTTTCTCTGCAGATCCTCTCAAGCTTTGTCAGGTTGGATAGGGAGTGTTGCTGCGCCCCCAGTCTGAGGTCCTGAGCACTCTGGAGCAGGTTTTCATCAAGGATCTCGCTCTACTTTGCTCCGTTCATCTTTTCGTCAATCCTGACTAGTCTCCCAGTCCCTGCCGCTGAAAAACATCCCCACAGCATGATGCTGCCACCACCATGCTTCATCGTAGGGATGGTGCCAGGTTTCCTCCAGACGTGACGCTTGGCATTCAGGCCAAATAGTTCAATCTTGATTTAATCAAACCAGAGAATCTTGTTTCTCATGGTCTGAGTCTTTAGGTGCCTTTTGGCAAACGCCAAGCGGGCTGTCATGTTCCTTTTACTGAGGAGTGGCTTCTGTCTGGCCACTCTACCATAAAGGCCTGATTGGTGGAGTGCTGCAGAGATAGTTGTTCTTCTGGATGGTTCTCCCATCTCCACAGAGGAACTCCAGAGCTCTGTCAGTGACCATCGGGTTCTTGGTCACCTCTCTGACCAAGGCCCTTCTACCCAGATTGCTCAGTTTGCTCAGGAGTCTTGGTGGTTCCAAACTACTTCCATTTAAGAATGATGGTGGCCACTATGTTCTTGGGGACCTTCAATGCTGCAGACATTTTTTGGTACCCTTCCCCAGATCTGTGCCTCGACACAATCCTGTCTCGGAGCTCTACAGAAAATTCCTTCAATCCCATGGCTTGTTTTTTGCTCTGACATGCACTGTCAACTGTGGGACCTTATATAGACAGATGTGTGCCTTTCCAAATCATGTCCAATCAATTGAATTTACCACAGCTGCACTCCAATCAAGTTGTAGAAACATCTCAAGGATGATCAATGGGAACAGGATGCACCTGAGCTCAATTTCGAGTCTCATAGCAAAGGATCTGAATACTAATGTAAAGATGGTATTTCTGTTTTTTATTTTTAATAAATTTGAAAAAATGTCTAAAAATCTGTTTTTCTTTGTCATTATGGGGTATTGTGTGTAGATTGCTGAGGGATTTATTTATTTGTAATCCATTTTAGAATAAGGCTCTAATTTAACAAAATGTGGAAAAAGTCAAGGGGTCTGAATACGTTCCGTATTTATTTTTACTGACAAATAAAATCAATCAATCCAAACTGTGCAGCTACCATTTTGATAAATTGAAAAAGACAACTGTTTAAAAACACCCCAAAAGTTTAATGGCATTCAGAGATTGTCAATCCAAGCCTTCGATACTGGGTAGGCCTACAAGGTGGGGAGGGATGTTCGTTCTGTTTGTCGAGATTGACATAGTCTATTTATTGTGGTGTTGAAAATGTAAACCATGATATTGAAGTGCCCAAAGTCAGTATGCTTTGTTTATTGGTTGTGTGGTATATTGGCACAGAAACCTGTTGGTGGAAAATGTGTTGCATATATTTTATATAATTATAAATATGGCATCAAATGGTTGAACGTCTGATTTCTCACTAGCTAAGCATTGACTGCAGCCGGCTCTGATCATAGTGTAGGCCTAATGAAACAGGCAGGGAGAGTGAGCTTGTCTGTCTGTGGCATCGACTTAATTTTATTTCATTACTCATGTGTTTCATAATATATAAAACTTTTTGATACAAGAGTAGCTCTGATCTTAGCAAATTGTATAACGGTGTGCATTGATAACGGATATATTTTTAGATACAGTTTTCTTATTCTTATAATGTTCATTTCCAGTTGCATAAACTCAGTCATACTGGGTGAATAGATAGAGGCCAGAGTTCTATGGTAAAGGCAAGCAAGCTGTGTCAACAAAAAGCATGGCAGGGTCAAAGTTCACTCACTCTTCTGTGCAAAAAGTCTCATTCCTCAGTTTCTCTCATTTCTCACACGCTGGGGAAGGTAAGCATTAAGAGCAGCATTGTTGGAAGAGAAGAGGTTTATTTCATAATGAGCTGATATGAAGTATGAGAAATGGAATGCCTGGTACCATTTATACAATATGTTAGTGATATCAAGGAATTAATTAATGAGTATGTCTTAAATCAAAATGGCATGAAACCCTTTATCTACATCCCCAGAGTCAGATGAACTTGTGGATGTGCATTTTTATGTCTCTGTGTGCAGTTTGAAGGAAGTTGCTAACTAGCTTTAGCACAATTACTAACTGATGTTAGCACAATGACTGGAAGTCCATGGGAACAGCTAGCATGCTAGCTGTTCCTGTAGACTTCCATTCATTGCGCTAACGCAATGAATGGAAGTCTTAAATGTATCACTGCTGGTCTAGCATAAAAATGCAAACTGTGACAATTCAGCCTTTATTATTTAAGTGATAAGTGGTAACTTGTGGAATAGACACCGGCTGGAATGCAGTTTTAACCAATCAGCATTCAGGATTAGACCCACCTGTTGTATAATGTGTAATAAGGCCTTTTTTTGTGTGTGAAGTTGATACATTATGTGGCCCTGTCTTTGACAGAGCCCTTTCTTCAGTTTGTTTTTTAAGGAGTAGTTCTATTAAGTTACAGTTGACTGTGTTTTGCTTACCATTATGACTTAATATGAACAATTAAATCATTTACTTTACATATACCTTATTGGAAAGGGTCTTTGTTCAGTTCTTGAATGTAGTGGGATAAGAAAGCGATAAGAACACAAAACACTTATTTCACAATGTTGCAGACTGCACTGATGTTTTGGGTGTAGATTTATCGCTGTGTGGGCCCAATAGTGGGGGACTTAGTTAGTCCCAACTAACTGGAGAATGGAAAATCTACTTAATAGGTGAATTGTATGTGTGCCTTGCAGTGACGTGGTACGCTACTCACTGCTGCTTTTGATGCCGGGAATCCATGGCTGAGAAATCTGTTTTGTTTTCCATCATGAAATTAAGGTAACTCCCTGTGAAGATTTTTCTGTAACTTGGATATGCAATTTGACAAAACGTTGGTAATTTTTGTTGTTTTAAAATGTTATTCTTGAATTCTGATTTGTTTATTCTGCTGTCAGTGTTTCCCTTAGAGATTCTCAGTTGAGGTTGCTGAGAGAAGTATCTGCACAACTCCTAAAACGTGGCATCTCAACATTTCACAGCAGATTATGCAAAAATGGTAAAGTCAGCCCCTTCTATAATAATGAATAATAAAAAAAATATTAAAGACTGACTTTGAATTTACCCTCATTGTAGTATTGAAGTCGGATTCTCCCTCCCCCCTCCCCCCAGATGGTCTCTTCCTTGTCCATCCGGCAGTATCCCAGGCATTGGCAGAAAACAGACCAGTGGTGGCGCTAGAGAGCACCATCATCACCCATGGCATGCCATACCCACACAACCTGAGGTATGTGCTGCAAAGATGTCAAAATGGGAAGGACTTTGTAAGACAGAAAGTTCCTGATATATAAAAAGTAAAATGCCATGCTATAAAGCTAATTTATTCTGGCAACATTTACTCCATTTAGCAGACGCTCTTATCCAGAGTGACTTACAGGAGCAATTAGTGCCTTGCTCAAGGGCACATCGACAGATTTATCACCTAGTTGGCTCAGAGATTCGAACCAGCAACCTTTCGGTTACTGGCCCAACGCTCTTAACCGCTAGACTACCTGCTGCCCTTAATTCAGTATTGGAAGTTACTACTTCAACAGTCACTGTTTTGCCTCATTCAGCACAGCCAAAGAGGTAGAGGCCATAGTAAGGACTGAGGGAGCCACTCCTGCCACTGTTGGACTGCTCCAGGGGAGGGTTCATGTGGGGTTGTCTTCAGAAGAACTGGACTACCTAGCCCAGAGTAAGACATCGCTGAAAGTGTCCCGCCGAGACCTGCCCTACGCCATCAGCAAGGTGAGCACCTGTCAAGGTTTGGACAAACAACCGAAAAGCCACTCCATTCAGTCTCATTCAGTTTGAATACCTTGCTTACCGGTGTGTGTGTGTTCTCCAGGGTCTCTGTGGTGGCACCACTGTTTCAGGCACCATGATAGCAGCACACAGAGCCGGTATCCATGTCTTTGTCACTGGCGGTGTTGGAGGAGTGCACCGAGATGGAGAGAATAGTACGTTATTGGTTTGAAGCTACTGTAGCCTCAGTGAAATGACATCATCATCCACAGTGGGGAGATTTCATGCTTAGGATACAGAAATAAACAACAACAAAATGTACTGAACTTGTTAACTGACCATCTTCTCAGGTATGGATGTCAGTGCAGATCTGACAGAGCTAGGCAGGACTCCCATTGCTGTGGTCTCAGCTGGAGTCAAGTCCATCCTTGACATTGGCCGCACCCTGGAGTACTTGGTTAGTGGTTATTGCTAGATGGTTTTATACATGGTCAAATGCATAGATTCCACTGCAAGAGATTCCACTGCAAGAGATTCCATTGCATCGCCAAATAATCATTAACAATTGTGTACTTTCTCAGGAGACACAGGGTGTGTGTGTCGCCACATTTGGGACCTCCAAGAATTTCCCCGCTTTCTTCTCTCCACAAAGTGGGTTTACCTCCCCTTACCACGTCAACAATGCTGAGGAGGCTGCAGATCTCATTGGTAACGCAGATAAATATTTTATGTCTTGAGTAGCAAAATGTTCAACTGACCCAATATTGCTGTTATTTCAGGGTCATTCTGAACTGATAATATAGACATGATCATAAGACATTATAAGGGGGTCACACGTGCTTACGACAAATCTTCCAATGTATTATGACTGCATCATAATGTACTACACCGGTCTCTTTCCCCTGGTCGACAGCGGGTACGCTGTCCCTGGGTCTACAGAGTGGGCTGCTGTTGGCTGTGCCCATCCCTAAGGAGCATGCAGCAGCTGGACAACAGATTGAGGACGCTATACAGGCTGCACTGGCAGAGGCTAAGTAAGGAAGCGATGCATTAGGTTCAGAGGGATGTTTCACTCAAAATATAACATAAATCACCTTTCCACCTATCTTGGCTGCAGTTGAATCCCCAATACATGTATTTTGCCTACTTAGCTATTGCCATTAAAGCCTTATTTATTGAGCACTTCTCATGGTCCGTCTGTGCCGGGTGGTGTTTTCTAAACGGTTATTTCCTGATCTCTAGATAGTTGCTTGCATGACTGACATCACAGGAAGTCTGCTTATCAGAGTTTATGTTTGGTTGCCTTGATATATGAGAAGAAAAGTATCAGCCACACGATGAACTCTCTGTTGCCTTCGTACGTATTTCCCCTGTAGTGCTAAAGGTATAAGAGGAGGAGATGTGACGCCCTTCATCCTTCAAAAGGTCAACGAACTGACCCGAGGAAAGTCCCTCCAGGCTAGTATCCTTCTCTGATCAATACCGTGATGTGAGAAAACCACGCTGAAGAGAGGGAGGGAGGGAGGGAGGGATCATATCAGAGTCATTCTTAGTGTAAGGTATAAAAATAAAAAAAGATCTGGCGTCATAATTGTTGATTTTTTTAAACTTGTTTTATCTATATATAACTGAATATTTGTATCATCATTACAATTAAGGTCCTTAATCTGATATTCCCAAAGATATCGCTCTCATCCATAATAATGCCAGGGTGGGCAGTCAGATAGCCTGTGCACTGTCTGAACGAATGCAGAAGAAGACTAGGACACCTTCTGCTCCTCACGCAAAGGAGAGAGAGAAAGATTTGGACTCTCACTCAACCATTGTGAGTACTAGTCATGTGTTCATCATCGATATGAACCACCCACTCTTGTCTTGTAGAGCACATCAGTTTTCTTACTCTAGTTTTAGCTTGATGGACAGTGTTTAACATGCTTGCTGTACAATACCACTGTGGCTCTTTCATCACAGGTTGTCATAGGTGGTGTGAATGTGGATTTTATTGCCAAGGGGAAAACAGATAAGCTAGTGGTACGTTCACACTAACCCTGCTTATATCAAGCATCTACTACTGCACGTCTAGAATATTCAAATAACGTCAATGACACATGGGTTTCTTTGATTGCTCAATTGGCTGTTTATATATTTCACAGTTTGGACAGACGAATCCTGGAAGTGTCTGCCAGTCATTTGGTGGAGTAGGAAGGAACCTCGCTGGTTAGTTATTTAATCAATAAGGCACGAGGGGGTGTGGTATATGGCCAATATACCACGGCTAAGGGCTGTATCCAGCACGACGCAACGCGGAGTGCCTGGATACAGCCCTTAGCTGTGGTATATTGGCCATATACCACAAACCCCAGAGGTGTCTTACTGCTATTATAAACTGGTTGTCAGCGTAATTAGAACAGTAAAAATACATGTTTTGTCATACCACGGCTGTCAGCCAATCAGCATTCAGGGCTCGAACCACCCAGTTTATAACATGCAATTATGTCTACATAGCTCCTATATGCGGAAAAGGTTAATCAAACTTTTGCATTGAGTGAAGACAGTTTAATGTTGAGTTCTTGTGTGAAATTTTACCCACCAGACATTCTGAGCAGAATGGGCCAAAGACCTCTCTTCATCTCAGCTATTGGAACTGACTCTCACAGTGATGCTGTGCTGAACTACTGTCGGCACATGGTACGTATGTGGAGAAGATTTAGAGCGGTGTTCTGACTTGAGATCAGCACGTTTCCATTTAAAATCAGAGTTGTGCGAGTTACTTATCTCAACTGTAAATCGGGCCCTTAACGAGTAGTAACAATTTTATATGACCAAATGCAAATCCCTCTCCCGTAGTATTCTGGCATGACATTCTTGCCTCTTTTGATTTTCCTTAGAACACCAGTGGCGTCGCTAGGCTTAAGGAGCAGCGGACTGCTACTTATTGTGCCGTGATCACCGAGAGCGGGGATCTGAGTCTCGGATTGGGCGACATGGACATCCACCAGCAAATCACAGAGCAGTATGTGAGTATTTCTGAAGCGGGTACTTCATTTACATTTTAAACTGTAAAGAGAACCTGATTTACTACACATAAAAGTACACATATATATAATGTTTTTGTCATGATGATTGTTTTTTTAAATATAGAATAGCACTGAAAAATAACACATTGCCTATCTCTATATACAGGTGTCCCAGTTTGAGGAGAAGCTCTCGTCAGCCTCTCTCGTGTGTCTGGACGGCAATATACCCGTCTCCACCATCGACTATGTTTGCTCCTTCGCCAAGAAGCATGCAGTGCCAGGTTAGCATGGAGAGCTGACCGCTTTGACAGTCATCAATAGTGATCGATCACCATTTTCTCACCATCAGTGCATGTCTGTGTGATCAGGGCCCCTATTCACAAAGAATTTGAGTCAGAGTACTGATCTAGGATCAGGTCTCCCCTGTCCATGTAATCTTATTCATTCTGATCTAAAAGGCAAAACTGATGTAGTGTATTATGATTATTACTTTTCTAGAGGAACAAAGAGGGGATGTTTATCTTAGTTCAAAAGTAGCCATTTGTAGGGTGACGCCCCAGGGGAGACAGGTGATTGGACAGCAGAGGGAGCAACCCATATTTTTGCATTGTTTATAAGTATATGCTGGACGAAGAAGAGGTCAGAGCAGACATTACAATTCGAGGACACTGCTCTCCGGGTGTCATGACATCCGTCACTTATGCTGGAATCTTGTGATATGAATAAACGTATGATCAAAGGTTCAGTATGAGCGGACTCCTTTGTTTATCAGCAATAACTGCCAGCATTTACTCGATACCACACTGATCCTATATCAGCACTCCTATTCTGAGACGCTATATGAATACAGACCCTGATGTGATAAACTTGTGTTGCAGTGTGGTATGAGCCAACTGATTGTGACAAGGCGTGCAAGCCTTTCCTGTCAGACAGCTGGAAAGCCCTGGCCTACACCTCTCCCAACCTGGCTGAGCTGTGTACCATAAACAAGGCATTGGGCCTCCCAACACCTGCAGGTATGATAGTCAGTCATTCCTGCGCACTGAGATCATTTCTGGAGCCTACTGTATATAATACGGAATTATCCTGGACCCAGCTATGTTTGTGCTGTGGAGCCAACTCCTATGCTTGGCTTAACAATGACCATAGCAGTTGACACTTCGCAAGACATCACAAACATATCTGAGACCAGGCTAGATATAATAAGTAATGCACACACTATGACGTTTTTGTTTGATAGGAGCTTGTGCATGATGATGAGCTGTCTGATTTAATGTGGTCTTGTCTTGTGGTGTCAGTGCTGCCTAGCTCTGTGGAGGAGGTGCTGCGCTGTGCCATGGCTCTCACACGCCCCCTGCTGGACCACCTGCAGTGTGTGGTGGTGACCCTGGGTGCCATGGGAGTGCTGCTGTGTGGAGAACATAACGCTGGGTCTGTAGACCTGCAGCCTAGGAGAGGAACAAGGGTAATAGGATACCTTTATATAGACTTGTTAAACCAGCCTGATCGTGAGCTCACATTCTCACATTCTGTTTCACTTCTAAACTAAACGTGAGCATCTTGACAAACCTTTATATCTTTAAACATTATGGTGATGATGATGTTTTTTGTTTTCCAGAAGGGTCGGCTATGTGCCGTCCACTACTCTGCTCTGGCTCTGACCGCAGACGAAACGGTGAATGTCTCAGGAGCCGGAGATAGGTCAGTAGCTATCTAGGGATGGGAGTAAACCATAAAATTTAAATGAAAAAATGTATCGCCATAGGTGAAATGTTGGTTTCCCACTCACCCCTCTCTCCCTCTCCTCAGTCTTGCAGGTGGGATATTGGCAGGGATGTTCCAGAGCAGAGACACTCACAGCTGTGTTAGGATGGGGCTCCTGGCAGCACGCCTGTCACTGGCCTCCCCACACCCCATCTGCACCACTCTGACCACAGACTCTGTGGACCCAAACAAGGTCCAACCACCCCAACCCTGGCCTCAACCCAACCTCCTGTGGCTGGAGGAATGAAGAAAGATCCGTTATTATAACGTTGTCATCTTGTTGAACCATCAAAATAACTTCTCAATGTTTAGTTCAGGGGTGTCAACCTCATTTTTTATCCCAGGGTCTTCAACGAGGTCCAGAGGGCTGCAATGAACATTGGTTATATTTCCTCGCTGTCAAAATTTGCAAAATAAAATCCCCTATCCATCGTTTTGGGAATTGATTATGGTCCCCGACCATCTAGCTTTCCTTTCCGTGATTATGTTTGACACCCCTGGTTTAGTTCAACCACCTCACCTACCATCACGGTGACAGGCTGCTGTTAATTTGCATCAATTTTGTCATAATTTTCAATAAAATACTTTAATACTTCGACTTACTATACTACTGTATTTCGACTTACTATACTACTGTATTTCAAGTATGTTGAAAAAAAAAATCAATTAACTATATTTCCCACAATGCACTGTTGGTATCCTTCTGCGCAGCCTCAGTACGTACTGAATGCTCGCTCCATTCACTCCTCCCTATTTTAATGCTAGCTAAGATGGTGGTTAAAGCGTATCTTTTTTACAGATAAAAAACAAGAAAAGGGCAAAACATCTAACAAGCCTTTTGAATTATAGCGCAATAATAAACCTAACATAATCTAAAGTGTCTATCTATACAAAACTGGACAGTTCAGAGACATCAGCAATCCCCGCCCAATTTGGTGTGACTGTCCCTTTGGAGTGGAATCCCTTTAATACGGACAGTAAGTAGCTAGCTAGTCGAAACTATTATTGTAACTGTCTGCTAATAATTTCGTGGCAAAATAACATTAGCTCCATGGTGCATGAACGAATTTATACAGTTTCTGCCTCAATGCCATCCTTTTGCATCGTTGCCTAGTTAGTTGTGGATTTAATGAAATGTCAATGGTTTACTGTGTCGGAGTCTGTTAGCTCGCAAGCTAACGTTAGTAGGCCGCAGTCGCTAACTAGCTAGCTAACTCCGAATGCCAGCTTGGTTCTGAAGTTATCTTGTTGGCTAATGTTAGCCTTTTAGCACTTTCGTTGGTTAACAAGCTGTCACTTTGTATTCACACGACAGTGCCTGTCATGTGAACTTTGGGTATTTGCTCAACGCGAAATGCCAAATGGACGGCATTTTACTCGTTGACTTGGATCTTACTCATATTTTATTGTGTGGGCATCTGACCGGCTTTTTGCGAGCTAGCTAACTAACATATGTTATGCCGCGAGTTAAAACAGGAGAGAACCATTGAAAACCTTTAGCAACATGCTAACGTTAATTTGCTAACTAGTTGGCTAACATAGTATCAGTCATCTGACATTTGCTGCTTACTTGTACGCCTGCATCATTTGTTGAGCGAGTGGATAGGGGCGCGAATGTCGGCTGTAGTTTAGCAACGGATTTTGAAATAGGCATTTTACCAATTTTATTGTATTGGAAAGTACCTAATGTTAGTTGGCTAACTAGTGTTACCCTTGGCGCTAACGTTAGCTAGAATGTAGTCTAGCTAGTTTATCAATGACAGTTACTTGCAATCAACTAGCTAGCTCACTGGTTCAGTGACTACCAATTTGCAATCTACATTAAAGACCAACGCTAGTTCATCCTCAACAAACCCCAAGATTCAATAGGCCTGTTTTTTTTTTTTTTTCAATCAGCCTTTGATATACTGCAGTTGACAGCTACAAGATGGCACGCCCTCCTACTGTCAAAACAACACCACAAAATATATTTGTGGCTGGCTGTCCTTACCACAATCTGCTACTTGTTAACAAGCTGTTGCCAATGACCTGGAACTAACACAGGCAGAAGTTAGTGATGATCCTCATAACATTCAGTTTAGACTACTTGATATTAAGACATCCCTTTACCAGTACCACTAGCTAAGGGAGCAGGTCTGATTTAGGCCTACGTTTTGCGTTGTCGCTAGTGTACTATTCATGTTCTCCACTAAACAGCTTTCCATCCAACCTTTTTTATGCGAGTAAAGTACGTCAGATAAATAAATAAAAAGTCACTACAGGGTTGATGGAAACAGCACATTTGTCAGTACATTTTGCAAATGTCGACTAAACAAAATACTCTAGAAGAGTTGGGATCTTTTTGTGTTGGTAAAAAATTTTTTTGCGAGAAATGTCGTCGGAAATGCTTTTATGTGCAATTATTGATATAATAACCATCATATCAAAGTACATTTGAGTAACGCGATGATATTGTGTGGTCCTTATTAGGCTGCAGATTAAATACATGATTAATTTAACAGGGTGATGAAAGTGTAAGGTGATGAGCTTGATGCTCCTTTACATTAAATATTGAGGGTTTTATTCTGGTGACATGATGATCGATGTTTGGCTGCTGTTGACAAATAAAAATGTCACTCTTTTGTCCATAATAATCTCATCATGTAGATAGCCAACCCACACTGTATCTGCGAGCTGTTGGCTAGAGCTGGTGCCAAAACCATCAGTAGAGTTGAAAATGGGATGGAAACACATTGAACCTGTGTTTTTTTTATTCGGTCATCACGCACAGCCTGTTATCAGCAACAAGTCAATTAGATGAAAACACATCTCTGGATGGAACATTTGCATATTGCTTTTATGCAGATTTTAGAATATTTGCATAAATCTGTTGCCTATTGAATGGAAGCCTAGCTATTGTTTACAATTTATTTACCTACTTCAAAAATAGTCCAAAAATAGTTTCTGAGTAGCAGAATTGCCTTTCCAGTCTCTATCCTGTCTCATCTGCCCATGAAATGAAATAATGTATATTTATTGCTGCACTTTTGCACAATGACTGCTCCTTTTTATCGATCTCATTGTTTTATGTTATGTGTATATCGGTTGTATGGTTGTCACTGTTTTTATTGTTGAATCCTGACTGCACAACACATTTCCCAATTGGGACAATAAAGATAACTTGATCTCTTACTAAAGTTGAACACAACAGATAGTTTCTAAGTAGCTGAATTGTCTCTCTACTTTCGATCCTCTCCCATCCCATACTACGCTCCTCCCTCCCAGCCCGTGACCAGCCGTGACACCTGCTCCCTTCACCGTGCCGTAGGATGTCCCACAGCCCCGAGATTAAGGAAGACCCTATGGAGTGCCCTCTGTGCATGGAGCCGCTGGAGATTGACGACGTCAACTTCTTCCCCTGCACCTGCGGCTACCAGATCTGCCGCTTCTGCTGGCACCGCATCCGCACAGACGAGAACGGCCTCTGCCCCGCCTGCAGAAAGGTACGTAACCTATCCTAACCACTAACCCTAGCCCTTCTCCTACACTTCTGCTGGCACCGCAGCCACACAGACGAGAACGGCCTCTGCCCCGCCTGCAGAAAATAGGCTGGCTGACTGGGTGGGGGACTGATACCCAGTTCGACGGTGACCAGGAACAAATGTTGATGTCAATGCAGGGGTTATGGAAATGTGACATACAGTCTAGTACAGGGCTCTCCAACCCTGTTCCTGGAGAGCTACCCTCACTGTAGGTTTTCGTTTCAACCCCAGTTGTAACTAACCTGATTCAGTTTATCAACCAGCTAATTATTAGAATCAGGTGCGCTAGATTAGGGTTGGAGCGAAAACCTACAGGACGGTAGCGCTCCAGGAACAGAGTTGGAGAGTACTGTTGTATTATAATGTAATACTACTTTATTCTTCCAACAGAGACAGAAATGATTCTACTCTGCTCCTAACTCTCCCCCAGAAGGATATACCTATAGTATGTACAGGTGAGTTTACCTGTCTTTCTATCTCTTCCCCCTGACATTCAGCCGTACCCGGAGGACCCTGCGGTGTACAAGCCTCTGTCACAGGAGGAGATCCAGAGGATAAAGAACGAGAAGAAGCAGAAACAGACCGAGAAGAAACAGAAGGTGACAGAGAACAGGAAGCACCTGGCCAGCGTCAGGGTAGTTCAAAGAAACCTGGTCTTCGTGGTCGGGCTCTCTCAAAGGCTGGCAGACCCAGAGGTGAGACACACACACACACACCGAGAGAGAAATGGAGCAGAGAAACCTAGTGTTCGAGTCGACAATATAAGCCTTCTACATTAATATACACTGAGTGTACAAAACATTAGGAACATGTCTTTCCATGACATAGACTGACCAGGTGAAAGCTATGATCCCGTATTGATGTTACTTGTTAAATCCACTTCAATCAGTGTAGATGAAGGGGACGAGACAGGTTAAAGAAGGATTTTTAAGCCATGGGTTGAGACATGGATTGTGTGTGTGTGCCATTCAGAAGGTGAATGGGCAAGACACAATATTTAAATGCCTTTGAACGGGGTATGGTAGTAGATGCCAGGCAAACCAGTTTGTGTGAAGAACTGCAACGCTGCTTAATTTTTCACGCTCAACATTTTCCCATGAGTATCAAGAATGGTCCACCTCCCAAAAAGGACTTCCAGCCAACTTGACACAACTGTAGGAAGCATTGGAGTCAACATGGGCTATCATTCCTGTGAAATGCTTTCAACACCTTGTAGAGTCCATGTCCCGATGAATTGAGGCTGTTCTGAGGGCAAAAGGGGGTGCAACTCAATATTAGGAAGGTGTTCCTAATGTTTGGTATACTCAATGTAGATATACTATATCAAGATAGGCCTAGATCTTTTTAGTTTTTTGTTAAGGTTGCAAAATGCCAGGAAGCTTTCCTGAAATTCCCAGGTTTTCCAGAAATTGGGAATCCTACCACTAGGATTTTTTGGAAAACCTGGGGATTTTGTGAGTTTCCTGAGTTTTGTAACCCTAGTTGAAGTACCCTTTGAGGGTTTTTCTCTTAAAGCCTCACCGACCCAGAGGTGAGTCCATCACCAGTAGTGGAGGAGACATCTAGGTACTTAGTTGTTATAGGATGTCCATATTTTCCTCATCTGTTTTCAGCTAAATGCCATAGGTTTCTTCTGTAAGTAAAAAATAATGTGAGTATACTATCCCATTCCCTCTACAGTTAACCCATGCATACCTTTTTGCCTGGGCAATGTTTTTTGCTGCTTATGCGCTGAGTACATAGTTGTATCATAGAGTACTTGATGTCCACAGATGCCGATGGAGATAAAAGCATTTAGCACATTGATTGGAAATAATTTGAACACGCGCCAAATCTCCTAAAGTCCCCACCCCTCCACTTTGCTTCAGTCATTAAAGGGATACTGCGAGATTTCGAGACTTGGTGTCGTTTTTCTCATATAGATGTATAGAGGTCACAACGTTGTATCTGTCCCGTGGGCAGCGTCTGTGAGCCCGTGGGCAGCGTCTGTGAGCCCGTGGCCAGCGTCTGTGAGCCCGTGGCCAGCGTCTGTGAGCCCGTGGGCAGTGCCATTCAGATGGATACAACGTTGCGATCTCTATAATTCTCTATGTGACAACGGGCCAGAGAATGAGGAAGTGGATAAAATCTATTTTTTAAAAGATTATCAGTAAAATTTAACGAATGTATGAAATATTGATGACTATGTATAGCTTATTAGCTTTGTAAGTAAATGACCAACCACACAGCTTTGGGTAGTTAGATTTATTTCCCTGCTTTTGAGAGGAGCTGGCTAATGTACCGGAAGACTTCCAGCAATTGCGCTAAGCTAACGATATGCTGACTTCAATCATCTCCAAACTGCACACAGAGACATAAAAATGGTATCCATGAGCTCTTCTGACTCTGGGGAAGTAGAACAAGGACCTACATCTCGCAGTATCTCTTTAAGTCGGGGCTCCCCAACCCTGTTCCTGGAGCGCTACCGTCCTGTAGGTTTTCGCTCCAACCCTAATCTAGCGCACCTGACTAATAATTGGCTGGTTGATAAGCTCAATCAGGTTAGTTACAACTGGGGTTGGAGCAAAAACCTAAAGGAGGGTTGCTCTCCAGGAACAGCGTTGGAGTAAAAACCTAAAGGAGGGTTGCTCTCCAGGAACAGGGTCGGAGTTAAAACCTAAAGGAGGGTTGCTCTCCAGGAACAGGGTCAGAGTTAAAACCTAAAGGAGGGTTGCTCTCCAGGAACAGGGTCAGAGTTAAAACCTAAAGGAGGGTTGCTCTCCAGGAACAGGGTCAGAGTTAAAACCTAAAGGAGGGTTGCTCTCCAGGAACAGGGTCGGAATAAAAACCTAAAGGAGGGTTGCTCTCCAGGAACAGGGTCGGAGAGCCCTGCTTTAAGTAGTTAGACGAAGATTTCATCTCGCTATTCTGTTACCTGATCATATTTCTGGTCTGCTGACCTAGCTGTACTTGTTTCCCCTCTCAACTGTATTTATTAAGGTCTGTTTGTGAAACATGTCTCAATCATCATTCCTGTCTTCGTTTTTTCCACAGGTTCTAAAAAGGCCAGAGTATTTTGGGAAGTTTGGGAAAATACACAAGGTGGTCATCAACAACAGCACATCATATGCAGGTTCACAGGTAAGAACTGGTTCTATGTGGCTCAGTTGGGAGGAGGGCGGCTCAGTTGGGAGGAGGGCGGCTCAGTTGGGAGGAGGGCGGCTCAGTTGGGAGGAGGGCGGCTCAGTTGGGAGGAGGGCGGCTCAGTTGAGTTGTATCGCTGCAGGGATCACATACACATACTAAAATATATAAACTCAGCAAAAAAAAGAAACGTCCTCTCACTGTCAACTGCGTTTATTTTCAGCAAACTTAACATGTGTAAATATTTGTATGAACATAACAAGATTCAACAACTGAGACTGAACAAGTTCCACAGACATGTGACTAACAGAAATTGAATAATGTGTCCCTGAACAAAGGGGGGGTCAAAATCAAAAGTAACAGTCAGTATCTGGTGTGGCCACCAGCTGCATTAAGTACTGCAGTGCATCTCCTTCTCATGGACTGCACCAGATTTGCCAGTTCTTGCTGTGAGATGTTACCCCACTCTTCCACCAAGGCACCTGCAAGTTCCCGGACATTTCTGGGGGGAATGGCCCTAGCCCTCACCCTCCGATCCAACAGGTCCCATACGTGCTCAATGGGATTGAGATCCAGGCTCTTCGCTGGCCATGGCAGAACACTGACATTCCTGTCTTGCAGGAAATCACACACAGAACGAGCAGTATGGCTGGTGTCATGCTGGAGGGTCATGTCAGGATGAGCCTGCAGGAAGGGTACCACATGAGGGAGGATGATGTCTTCCCTGTAACGCACAGCGTTTACATTGCCTGCAATGACAACAAGCTCAGTCCGATGATGCTGTGACACACCGCCCCAGACCATGACGGACCCTCCACCTCCAAATCGATCCCGCTCCAGGGTACAGGCCTCGGTGTAACGCTCATTCCTTCGATGATAAACGCGAATCCGACCATCACCCATGGTGAGACAAAACCTTGACTCGTCAGTGAAGAGCACTTTTTGCCAGTCCTGTCTGGTCCAGCGACGGTGGGTTTGTGCCCATAGGCGACGTTGTTGCCGGTGATGTCTGGTGAGGACCTGCCTTACAACAGGCCTACAAGCCCTCAGTCCAGCCTCTCTCAGCCTATTGCGGACAGTCTGAGCACTGATGGAGGGATTGTGCGTTCCTGGTGTAACTCGGGCAGTTGTTGTTGCCATCCTGTACCTGTCCCGCAGGTGTGATGTTCAGATGTACTGATCCTGTGCAGGTGTTGTTACACATGGTCTGCCACTGCGAGGACGATCAGCTGTACGTCCTGTCTCCCTGTAGCACTGTCTTAGGCGTCTCACAGTACGGACATTGTAATTTATTGCCCTGGCCACATCTGCAGTCCTCATGCCTCCTTGCACCATGCCTATGGCACGTTCACGCAGATGAGCAGGGACCCTGGGCATCTTTTCTTTTGGTGTTTTTCAGAGTCAGTAGAAAGGCCTCTTTAGTGTCCTAAGTTTTCATAACTGTGACCTTAATTGCCTACCATCTGTAAGCTGTTAGTGTCTTAAAGACCGTTCCACAGGTGCATGTTCATTAATTGTTTATGGTTCATTGAACAAGCATGGGAAACAGTGTTTAAACCCTTACCGATCACTGCACCTGAACACAGCCCATCTGTAATTAGCCCACCCAACTACCTCATCCCCATATTGTTATTTACATTTGCTCATTTGCACCCCAGTATCTCTATTTGCACATCATCTTCTACACATCTATCACTCCAGTGTTAATACTAAATTGTAATTATTTTGCACTATGGCCTATTTATTGCCTTACCTCCATAACTTACTACATTTGCACACACTGTATATAGATTTTCTATTGTATTATTGACTGTACGTTTTGTTTACCCCATATGTAACTCTGTGTTGTTTTTATCGCACTGCCTTGCTTTATCTTGGCCAGGTCGCAGTTGTAAATTAGAACTTGTTCTCAACTGGCTAACCTGGTTAAATATATATATATATATATATATATATATATATATATATATATATATATATATATATATTTTTTTTTTTTTTTTAAATTAAAAAATGAAGATCTGTGAAGTTATTTGGATTTTTACAAATTATCTTTGAAAAACACTGTCCTGAAAACGGGACGTTTCTTTTTTTTGCTGAGTTTACATACTCACTGTACTGTCAATTACTTTGGAGGAAAGTGCCTGCTAAGTGAGAGATCATAAGAAGTGGGATTGAATTCAAAAGCAAGTGGGTTCGTCTCAAATGTAAAATAGGAAGGTGGTGACATGAACTACATCTCTAATAAAAAATTAGCTGTGTGTTTCTTATGACCTATTCTGAATATTATTTTCACTGTTTTCTGATCCACAGGGTCCCAGTGCCAGTGCATATGTCACCTATATCCGCTCTGAAGACGCCCTCCGAGCGATACAATGTGTAAACAATGTAGTAGTGGACGGCAGAACACTCAAGGTGACCGGAACAGACATTCTCGGACGCAGATTAAACCAAATCCTGGATTACAATTGTCAATGGAGATATTCCATTGAGCTTGTGTTTTAGTCCAGGACTAGGCTTAATCTGTGTCTGGGAAACTGGTCCTAGAAGTAACTGTTTTGTTGACGTATTGTAAGGAATGTTATCAAATAAAGGACTATCTAATCTTAAATGCTGTATGACCTTTGTCTTAGATAAGTAATAATATGATGCATTAGAGGGCACCTCAACTGAAGAGAACATTCATCACAAGTAGATTTTAACTGAGCTTTCCTTTCTGTATGTTTTTTCAAAAATGCAGGCTTCTTTAGGTACAACAAAATACTGCAGTTACTTCCTCAAAAGCATGCAGTGTCCCAAACCAGACTGTATGTATCTACATGAGCTGGGGGATGAGGCAGCTAGCTTTACTAAAGAGGAGATGCAGGTAAACAAACCTTTTATTCTTCCTGTGTGATTGTTGGTGGGTGACTAGAGATGCCAGATGTACTTTCTCTTGACGTCATGCGGTGTACTTGCCTGTGTGTCTACCTTGTCCCGGGTTAGATCATGTTCTTCCTATTCTCTTGGAGGATGTTTCTGTATCTGCCTTTCCAACCATGTTCTTACTTAAAGGGGCTTTGGACCTCAGCATTAATGTTATTTTGAAGCTAGCCTGGTCCCACATCTGTTTGTGCTGTATAATCAACTCACATGGTCGTTGTCATGCCAGATCTGGGTCTAGGTAGAAGCTGTGATGCGTTTGAATTGAGTCAGGTGTCTGTGGTGAACAGTGGGAGCATTGTGTCAGGTGTCTGTGGTGAACAGTGGGAACATTGTGTCAGGTGTCTGTGGTGAACAGTGGGAGCATTGTGTCAGGTGTCTGTGGTGAACAGTGGGAGCTTTGTGTCAGGTGTCTGTGGTGAACAGTGGGAGCATTGAGTCAGGTGTCTGTGGTGAGCATTGAGTCAGGTGTCTGTGGTGAACAGTGGGAGCATTGTGTCTGTGGTGAACAGTGGGAGCTTTGTCAGGTGTCTGTGGTGAACAGTGGGAGCATTGTGTCAGGTGTCTGTGGTGAACAGTGGGAACATTGTGTCAGGTGTCTGTGGTGAACAGTGGGAGCATTGTGTCAGGTGTCTGTGGTGAACAGTGGGAGCTTTGTGTCAGGTGTCTGTGGTGAACAGTGGGAGCTTTGTGTCAGGTGTCTGTGGTGAACAGTGGGAGCTTTGTGTCAGGTGTCTGTGGTGAACAGTGGGAGCATTGTGTGTTATGATTCACTGCTTAAATGACTTAACGTTATTATGTTTGTCCTTTAGGCCGGGAAACACCAAGAATACGAGCAGAAACTACTCCAGGACCTCTACAAAATGAACCCCAGCTTTCTACAAACCTCAACGTGTGCAGGGGAAAAGTCAAAAAGCAGATCTTCAAATTCTACACAAAGGTATGTTTTGGTTCTCCTCCCTCTACCCAACAGAAAATATTTGTCCTGGAGGCCTCTATCGATTTGTTCCACACAACATCCCTTTATTGGATATTTGTTCATTTATCACAGCAGACCGAACAACGGCAATGGCAAGGATGGGTGGCCGACGCTATCGGGGTATGGTGGCAAACTGGCCAATGGGCTGTCAGAGGACAGGAAGTCTCCTCCGCTGCTAGACTGCTGCCTGGACCCAGATGTCATGACCTCAGACGGGTTAGGACTTGGCCTGGGGCTGGACACCGAGTTGGGTGCTGCCCTGTCCCCCTTCTCCTCTAACTGTGACAGCAACAGGTAATATGGAACAAGGGTTCTCAAACGTTTTGGGGCTGTGGACCCCTTTTGTGAAAGCACCCCCTCATAGTCAGAACAGAACTTGAGTTTGATTTAAAAAAATAAAAATACATCGCCTACAAGGAGTTTTATTATGACGTCTGTAGTATGGTCAGATGAACCAAGTCTCAGCCCCGTGGAAAAAACATTTAAAAGGCACACCTCTTAGCATTGGAGAGAAAATGTTGCACCTTTAAAGCTAATTTCCTGTAATTCTACACATTTTGTCATGGGGCAGAGATTTTTTATTGTTGCAGCTGTCAAGCTAATATCCTGTAATTCTACACATTTTGCCATGAGGCAGAGAGAACTTTGCTGTTTTTAAAGCTTATATTAAAGTGCAGTTATGTAAAACCTAAAAAAAATGGGGGGAATAGTATTGAGTTGAAAAATGTATAATTGGTGGATTACTGTGGATACCATTATGCCTGTGAGCCTCCAAGGTCCATGTTGCCCAGGGTTAAGAACCTAAATTGTAGATTAATAATATTACACACTTGTAAATTAATCCATGGATCCCTTGGCCAAAAGTATCTTTGTAATATTCATTTAAAAAATGTGTGTGTGGATAGATGGATATATAGAGATCTGGCTGCGGGCCCCATGCAGTACCATGACCCCATTTTGAGAACCCCTGATATACAGTGCCTTCAGAAAGTATTCATACCCCTTGACTTATTCCACATTCTGTTGTTACAGCCTGAATTCATATATTTTTTTAAATATATATATTTCTGTCCATCTACACACAATACCCCATAATGACAGTGAAAACATGTTTTTAGAAATTTGTGCGCATTTATTGAAAATGAAATACAGAAATATCTAATTTACATAAGTATTCACACCCCTGAGTCAATACTTTGTAGAATCATCTTTGACAGCGATTACAGCTTTCTGGGTAAGTCTCCTAAGAGCTTTCCACACCTGGATTGTACAATATTTGCCCATTTATTCTTTTCAAAATTCTTCAAGCTCTGTCAAGTTGATCATTGCTAGACAACCATTTTCAGGTCTTACCATAGCTTTTAAAGTAGATTTAAGTCCAAACTGTAACACGGCCACTCAGGAACATTCACTGTTTTCTTGGTAACCAACTCCAGTGTAGATTTGGCCTTGTGTTTGAGGTTATTGAAAGGTAAATTCATCTTCCAGTGTCTGGTGGAAAACAGACTGAACCAGGTTTTCCTCTAGGATTTTGCCTGTACTTAGCTCCATTCTGTTTATTTTTTATCCTGAAAAACTCCCCAGTTCTTAACGATTGCAAGCATACCCATAACATTATGCAGCGACCACTATGCTTGAAAAATGGAGAGTGGTACTCAGTAATGTGTAATATATTGGATTTGCCCCAAACTTAACACTTTGTACTCAGAACAAAAAGTTAATTGCTTGCCACATTTTTTGCAGTATTGCTTTAGTGCCTTATTGCAAACAGGATGCATGTTTTGGAATATTTTTATTCTTTACAGGCCTCCTTTTCACTCTGTCAATTAGTTTAGTATTGTGGAGTAACTGCAATGTGGTTGATCCATCCTCAGTCTTCTCCTATCACAGCCATTAAACTCTAACTGTTTTAAGGTCATCATTGGCCTCATGGTGAAATTCCTGAGCGGTTTCCTTCCTCTCCAGCAACTGAGTTAGGAAGGACGCCTCTATCTTTGTAATGACTGGGTATATTGACACACCATCTAAAGTGTAATTAGTAACTTCACCATGCTCAAAGGGGTATTCAATGTCTGCTTAATTTATTTTTTACCCATCTACCAATAGGTGCCCTTCTTTGTGAGGCATTGGAAAACCTCCCTGGTCTTTGTGGTTGAATCTGTTTGAAATTCACTGCTCGACTGAGGGACCTTACAGATAATTGTATGTGTGGGGTACAGAGATGAGGTAGTCATTCAAAAATCATGTTAAACACTATTATTGTACACAGTCAGTCCATGCAACTTATTATGTGACTTGTTAAGCACATTGTTACTCCTGAACTTATTTAGGCTTGCCATAACAATGAGTTTGAATACTTATTGTAAAAATTGTGAAAAACATTATTCCACTTTGACATTATGGGGTATTGTATGTATGCCAGTGACGACAAAAATCTCAATCTAATTTAAATTCAGGCTTTAACACAACAAAATGTGGAAAAAGTCAAGGGGTGTGAATACTTTCTGAAGGCATTTTAGAATAATATTACTTTATTAGTCAATTTTACAATTACAACAGAAATGTTAAAGTAACAGGTAATATACAGTGGAGGGTTAAACCAAGCTGTACTGAGAAGCCAGGCAGTACTATTCTGTACTGGTTATGCATTCACTGTTGTTGCTGGAAACGTGCTGAAAAGGACTGTGTGAACAGAGAATCCAAGCCAGCCCAGTTTGGTTCAGGTCAGCACAATAGAGTGAAAAGGTTATAACTCACAGGCCAGACTGGTCTCCTTTTGGACCCTTTTAAATGCTGGTGGTGGTGGTGGTGGTGGTGGGCCGTGAAGATCATAGTCTGTTTCTGTTTCCCTCTAGTCCCAGCGACAAACCTCCGGAATCAATTGGTAGGGTGAATGGAGAGACTTTACAACAGGTAAGAAGACATTTTACATTTTAGTCATTTGGCAGACGCTCTTATCCAGAGCGACTTACAGGAGCAATTAGGGTTAAGTGCCTTGCTCAAGGGCACGTCGACAGATTTTTCACTTAGTCGGCTCGAGGATTAGAACCAGCGACCTTTCGGTTACTGGCACAACGCTCTTAACCACTAATCTACCTGCCGCCCCCTTTACTAATGAGTTGAATTCACATGTAGAAGTACAGAAATTATTTAACAATTTTAAATGTATTTTCATGATTTTTATAAATGTATAGATAATTACTTTATTACATGAAGTACATAGTGATGTTATTAGGGAAATTCTTGTTATATCTATCCAGAGTATACCGTCTCTTCTAAGCCTTTTCCAATGTTGGTTTTCATTATGAGTTATTATTTCTTACAAATAGTACAATCTCACAGACATTACCCTTGTCCTCCCCCCTCTCCAGATGCCTAACAGTGAGTCCCCCTCCCCTCCTCCGGGGCTGACCAGACCCCCCAGCAGTCTGGTGGTTCCCATCAGTGTAGTGGACCTCACTGCCCGCTCACCCTTCGAGGGGGCCGCTGCAGAGTCCCAGTCCCTGTTCTCAGACAACAGTAACTTCAGACACCCCAACCCCATCCCGTCCGGCCTGCCCCCCTTCCACAGCTCGCCTAGAGGGGGATCTGACTGGCCCATGACCCCTGAACCACAGAGCCTCTTCGCATCAGGTGGGTTGTGTGGGGCAGAGACACTGACACACACACTGTTAGCAGACGATGCTTCCTTTGACAGTGCAGTGTCTGCTCCACTGCGTTTCAGCTAGACAGCCTTCATTATGGTTTGAAACATAACCTCTAGATAACGTTTCATCCTTCTCTCCCTTCCCCAGACACAATACCGGTCTCGTCCTCTACAGACTGGCAAGCGGCCTTCGGCTTCGGCTCCTCCTCCAAGACACAACAGCAGGACGACGACCTGGGCTTCGACCCCTTCGACATCACGCGGAAGGCCCTGGCTGACCTCATAGAGAAGGAGCTGTCAGTCCAGGACCAGCCCAGTCCCCTGGGGTCCCCTGGCCCCTTCAGCCTCCACCACCCCGGGTCCCACCACGGCCTTCACATCCCCCCCTTCCAACCCCAACCATTTCCCCAGCAGCATTGGACCTCCACCCCGCCTTTCTCAGCTCCACCACAGGCAAATGTATAGTTCCTTTAGTTTCCCTGGTTCCCAGAGTCAGAGCAGTCATCATGGTGGAGGTCAGGCTGCCCAGGCTGCCGCTGCCTCTCAGCATCCCTGGATGGACATGCCTCCCTCGGCCTCGGCACGCAGCAATAACCACCTCCTCTCACACTTGAGCCACTCGGCCAACGCTGGAGGGGGACGCGGAAACTTCCTGGACTTGAGCATGCCTCCTCAGCGCCACAGTACAGGGCTGGGAGGGATCCCCATATCAGGTAGGTTGTTATAAGACATTTTAGTCATTTAGCAGACGCTCTTATCCAGAGCGACTTAGTTAGTGAGTGCATACATTTTATTTGTATTTATTTTTCATACTGGCCCCCCGTGGGAATCGAACCCACAACCCTGGCATTGCAAATGCCATGCTCTACCAACTGAGCTACACGGGATAAGACCCTGTCTCTGTCTTCTGGGAGTGTTGAGGTCAGGGGTCAGTTATATGTCCTGTCTCAATTCAGGAAGTAAACTAAAATTGGAATTGGAATTTCAGTTTACATCCTGAATGGACTGAATTGAAATGCAATTGACCCCAAACCTGTTTGAGTCATGTTTAATACAATCTGTCCAGTATGACCATAACAAGCATTGAATGTCAAAATGTCATAATTTTCCCTGTTTCTACCATGTTATTTTGACCTTGTGGGAAACAAATTACATGTAGATATAGTTCTGTTTTGGCCACAAGATGGCAGTCCAAAGCCACCTGTGAAGATGTGGATTCATCAAACGTCTTTATTAAATGTCTAGAAATATCTACCGTTTATGTATTTTTTTTACAGAAGCAAATCAGCACGGCTTATTTTCTAATTTCTCCTTAATGAAATAAACATGTTCTCTCTCTAGAAAGCAGCTGTTCTATAGACGGCCTTAATGTGAAAGAATGGCAGGCTGGCCTGAGAGCTCTCCTACCCAACATCAACATCAACTTCGGTGGTCTCCCCAACTCCTCCTCCTCTTCCTCCTCCTCCTCCTCTTCCTCCAGTGTGAACCACATCGGGCGGCCCAACTACATGGGGGGCATTGGTGGGCTCCACGGGCCAGGGGGATTATCACACAGCCTCAGCTGGGACGGTACGGCCAGCTGGATGGACCCAGCGATCATCACAGGTAGTGAGTAACCCCAGACGCATTTATTACACAGGTATTATACGATGATTACTTTTATTATATCAAATTCATTCTGTCTAACAATTTATGTTATTATTTACGCTATTAACTTATTAAGATACATTTGAAAGTGTTATAAGCAGAGTCTTGACATTTCATCTTTATTTAGCCAGGATACTCTACTCACCAACAATAGTCACTGTTTTCCAGGGAGGTCTGTAGAAAGCACTAAAGATACTAAATGGAAGTGGGGGCATCTACTCTCCTACTCCAGGGTTTCTCAAACTGGGTCCGGGGACTCCCCTCCCCCTGGGTCCGTTGTGGTTTTTGCCCAAGCACTACACAGCTGATTCAAATAATCAAAGGCTGATGATGAGTTGGTTATTTGAATCAGCTGTATAGTGCTAGGGCAACAACCAAAATGTGCACCCAGGGAGGGCCCCGGGACCGAGTTTGGGAAACCCTGTCCTACAGTTCCCACTCACCCATCTCTCCCTCTCTCCTCTCTTCAGGCATCCCAGCCTCAGCAGGTAACAGTTTAGACCTTTTCCAAGAGGACCAGAACCCTCCCCACTGGCTCAAGTCCCTCCAGGCCCTGACAGAGATGGACGGCCCTGCCCTGCCTAGCTCCTCCCTTCCCCAGCAGCCCCAGAACCAGCAGCACCATCCCCAGTCCCTCCACAGCCACCACCATGGCCTCCTAGACCAGGCTGCCTCACACCCACACCTCCCCCTCCACCACAGAGCCGGCTCCGGCTGGGCCCAGCCCAAACAGGCCATCCCCAGCCAGTTTCACAGCCCTCCCCCAGGCTTCCAGACAGCCTTCAGACCCCCAGGCCAGAGCGCTGCAGAGCTGCTACAGAGTACCGCAGCCGGGGACCGACACTAAACTAAAGACGGATTACAGCAGTTTCCTAATTCCAATCCCCTACCTAATGCCATACAGATACAGTACACACACCAATCTACAGATGATCAGATTATGAAAAATAATTAGCTAACAAAATAACAAAGCTTTCTTTCTTTCTCCTTCCAACTTCATTTTTTCCCGGTTCTGACGGCCTATTTGTTTGTTCGTTTAGTTTTCCGTGGCACATGACATGCATTGCCAGGTACCCCTTTTGGTCTAAAGTAAACCGCCTTACTGTGAGCTCCAGTAATCAGGGGTGTTCAGTAGTGAAACGTTTTGAAAACGGGAAATTAGTGTTTCTTACTGGACAGATAAGTCCATGTAGTCCCTGCCGGTATCAGTTAGTTTTCTTGCGTTTGGTGCATAATGAATACGACCCAGGTGAATTGTTTGGGATCAGACCGACTTCTGTGAGCTTCACTTGAGGTCCGTCTTTTATGATCTAGATGAGAACAGGAGCAGTGTTAGGTTTTGTGACACCCAAGTCAATAACTACAAACGCACAGGAAACAAGATTAGCTAACGTGAGTAATTTAAGAAGTAAACTAATGATTAAATATGAAATGGGTGAAAGAAATGAAGTCACAATTCCACTTCTTTGAGGATGAAGCAACAAGCTGAATGGTAAATCTGCTCTTAAAGCTTTGCCCCAAAGACACTCATCCTCCCCCCTTTGAACAGAACAGGAGACTGAATGAAATTGTTTACCCTCCCTCGCTGCAGAGAAGCCCCAGAGCGGTTAACTTTGGGCATGTTCATTTAAGGAGAAAATGCCTTAAAGTTTAACGGTTTAAGAGGTATGGTTGAGAATCTTTAGAGAAGTATAGTTGAGAGGGACTTGTTGTAGTTCAGATGACAGAAAATGATGCGGACCGAGATGGGCACAGACTAAGACGTTAGGAGGGGGGAGTTGAGGGCACAGCCAGGCTATAAATGCTACGGGATCCATGTTAGACAGGGTCGCAATGGTCACGTTCCAGGCCGACTAGATTGCAGTCGTGCTGCACTCACTCAGCAACCAATGATCGACTTTGAAGTCGGTGACAGACTGCTATATCATATATGTGGTTAGCTGAGATAACCGATCAGCTATACCTGATTAACTGGTTAGCTGAGAACACCAATCCAGGCGTTGTGAGATCTGGCAGGCAACCACAATGTACTCTGCCTGGAACGCGCCCAACCAATGACTTGTCTTGTACAGGTCATTAAAACCAACGTTGTTCCCTTTGGGCTCAGGGGTCATGGTGCCCCATCCTGTAGTAGAGGGAAGATTCAGTTGAACCTCTGTATCAGAGGATGTAGCACTGCCTAACTGGAGGTCCGGCCGACGGGGTTAAAGAGTTATAGTCTCACCACGATTCTCGGGTTGGAAGAAGAATAGGCCTAGTCTCGCGATACCAGACCTCGGCACGTTAAGTGCTAATTCTGGGGAAACTTAGAGCGGCTGGAGTCCCAGGTTAGAACGAAGAACAATATTTAAAGACTGTGTTGTGAGTGAAGATACAGGCTAATACTGGGACATCCTGAGAGCCAGGGTTTAGTATGATACTCACAGTGCCACTGTGTGGCACCTACAATAGCTAAACCCTTATCAGGAGAGTCACCAGAAAGCAGATGGAACAGAGAAAAGGGGTTGATGAAAAGGCTTCCCAGATATGCAGGTCAGAGCTAATACTAATAAGGGTAGCGCTAGCGTAACAAGTTTCCCCCCTGTTAAACCCGTGAGGGCTTTCAACGAGGCCTTACCGTGAATTAATGAGAAAAGGAGCTTGAGTGATTGGCTTGGGAAATAGTGTCACCATGTTCTGATATGCATCTGTATAAAAAAGTATGAGAATTTTAAATAATGCAATGTGATATCGGAAAGTGCTACAAGACAAGATGACAAACGACGGCTTGCAATTTAATCCAAGGAGCTCTCTGCCTTTCTCTGGGCCAAGAGAATGAATAACCTGTCCTCCCTTCACAGCCTTTTTCTTTTTAAGTCTTAACTCTATGATCTGTCCCTCTTTCTCTCTCTCTGTTCATCTCTCCCTTTTTCTCTCTCCTGCTGTCCCCTATTAAAACAGTATTCACCAGAAACAAGAACTGATCCAGGAGAAACCAACATAGTCCGTCGTACTACCGTGGTTTTTAACATGGGGCTGAGTTAAACGCTCATTGAGGAGCTTAAAGGAATTGAACTGTCCTCTGCAGGTCTGGAAAAAGAAACCTTAAATAAAACGGAAAACCCCAGTGCTCGACTTGGCTCTTTTTGTTTCACAGATTCACACTGTTTCTCACGTTTCCATGTCATTCAAGTTCAAGTATTACATTGGTTGTTCTAAACTGTCATAACATGTTGATACAGCCAGTGTAACAACTCCTAGGGTCTGTTTCCTGGACACGGAATTATCCTATCCTGGACTAAAAACCTATTTAAATGGAGAATGTCCATTGAGCATGCTTTCTAGTCCAGGACTAGACTTGATCTGCACCCGGGGAACAAACCCTTAATGTTTCTGATGTAACGTAAGCTTGATCTCCACAGCATGAAGACCTGCATTTTAAGACCAGTAGAAAATTAGAACGTCCTTAAATGTGCCACCACAAAAACGTCAGGACTGTAATTCAGCTTACTCTCCACTAGGGGGCATAGTCTGTCTTCACTCCCTGCTGAAGCTCTGCAATCCAAATTTAGGATGTGTCCCAAATGGCACGTGTTTGTCTGAGAGGGAGAGATGTAGTTGTGTGTGTGTGTGTTTTAGTTCTTGCATACTGTATGCAGTCCTCAGCCTCCTCCTGTGCAGTGCACCCTGGCCCATGCAGCCAGTCAGCCTATGCAGTACTATGGAGCTACCTGCAGCAGAATAGCAGTGTACTGCTATAGCTCATTGCCCTCTAGGACCTCTGGCAGATTTAAGGTAACAGTGGGGAAACTGATCCTGTGATATCTCTACTGTCAGTAATGTACTGTGGTGGCGGAATCCCGGTGTGACTTCAACACCTCACGCTGGTAGAATAATGTTTACCTTATTATTAATGAATGTCTTCGTATTAGTTACATAAGGGATAGTCAAGGTTACGCTAATGCATCATGACGGCATAAGAATCCAACCTTATTCATCATTTTACTTCTGGTCTTTCCTGTGAGATCCCACCCTATGCGTTAATTAATGTACTGTGGTGACAAAATTGGAATATTATGTTATTCTTCTTGCCTGTGGGTGTTGATGAATGAATGTCTCTACTGTTCATTAAGTAGTTTAATCTGAAGCAACGTTAAAACTGCATGAATCCAACATTGTCCCTAATGTTACCTGTGGTCTTCCTAGTGTGATTTTCAAACCCCAGGCTGCTAGAATGTTGTTCTGAACCTTCTTGTTAATCAACATCTTCCTACTAGTTAAATCTGAGGCAAGTCAGGGATAATCAAGGTTATGCTAATGCTTCACAATATGAGAATCCAACCTTGTTCATATGTTACCTATGATCTTCCCAGTCTGTGTGATTTACAACACCTCATGCTGCCATGAATGTCCTCTTATGTAAATTGCAATGCTGAGGCAAGGATATGCTATGAATCCAACTTCGTCCATAATGTTACATTTTACATTTACATTTTAGTCATTTAGCAGACGCTCTTATCCAGAGCGACTTACAGTTAGTGCATACATTATTATTTTTCATACCCCCTGTGGGAATCGAACCCACAACCCTGGCATTGCAAACGCCATGCTCTATCAACTGAGCTACATCCCTGCCGGCCATTCCCTCCCCTACCCTGGACGACGCTGGGCCAATTGCACACCGCCCCATGGGTCTCCCGGTCGCGGCCGGCTACGACAGAGCCTGGATACGAACCAGGATCTCTAGTGGCACAGCTAGCACTGC